ATTGCTCAAGCATTTGGGTTGATATCGCACTATATCTGAAATTTTAACTCAATTGGACATTATTTACTTTAGGTTCCAGATTCGGACTTAACTTGTCGTAAACGAGTCTGTCTTGCGTCACCGTTTCAAAATTCGCTTGCTTTTTATTGATTTCATTTCTTGCAGTTTATTTTCATCATATCCAACATATTTGGGTGTTTTTTAATGATTTTGCATATTTTTTTGTTTCTGTTTTTATTCGCGTCTTCAGTTTCGTTCATATTTCAGATAGACTCGCTTGCTACTCACGAGACTATCATCGCAGTTTCGTTTTGCTTGTTTTCTAGTTTTTTCATTGCTTCTTGAGTCATATATATATTTGGATAGCGCTATCAAGTTGGTTCTATTTAGTGTTGGTTTCAGTTTCGCAAGAACCTCAAGAAGGTGAGACGAGAGGTGTGAGCGTGTGAGGATATTAAGAGTGTTTGAGCGAAACACGAGTGATGTGAGGATAAATTTTCTTTTACCACTAACAACTTTTTGCAGGTACTATCATGTCAAATCAAAACAATACACCGCCCCATCCCGAGGGAGAACTTACATTTCAAATGCAACCATGACACAAATGATGGAGAGGATGAATTTTGTGATGGGAAATGTGTGTGATAGACTTGATAGGGTGGAGAAACGTGGTAACGAGGCTGGTACGAGCACCCAAAATGTGAAGCTTGGGGTGGAACCGAAAGCAAACAATAGCAGTAGGGCCAATAGGCCAAGGTGGGCTGATTGTGAGGATTTTGAGGAGGCCGTTGGTGATATCGATGATGGTGTTTTTGATGATGAGGCCATAGACTACCGGGAAGGTTTTCGGCAGCCTAGAAACCGAAGGGATTATGGGAATAGAACTAGGGGCCAATTCGGCCAAAGGGAAATTTTTCGTAGTGTTGGGGGACTTGAATAAAGTTGTTAAAAAGTCAATTGGGTTTAAATGGGGGAAGGAACGAGAATTGGCTGTTGTTCTTTTAAAAGATAAATTATGTTCTGCATCTATTTTGGCTTTACCTGACTTTACAAAAGCATTTGAAATAGAATGTGATGCATCTGGAATTGGAATAGGTGCTGTTTTGATACAGGATCGGAGACCTATTGCATATTTTAGTGAGAAGTTAAGTGGAGTGACCTTGAACTATCCCACTTACGACAAAGAACTTTATGCATTGGTAAGAGCACTTGAGACATGACAACATTACTTGTGGCCAAAAGAGTTTGTAATCCATTCGGATCGTGAGTCCTTGAAACATCTTAAAGGACAAGGTAAGTCGAATATGAGGCATGCAAAATGGGTTGAATTCATTGAAACTTTTCCTTACATAAACAAGTATAAGTAATGCAATGAATTTGTGAACAGTGCATTACTTGTAAAAAGGCAAAATCTAGAGTACAATCGCATGAGCTATATACACCATTACCTGTGCCTATTGAACCTTGGGTAGATATCTCTATGGACTTTGTTTTAGGTTTACCTAGGTCAAAGAAAGGTAGAAACTCTATTTTTGTTGTGGTTGATAGGTTTTCTAAAATGGTGCATTTCATTGCATGCAATAAAACAGACGATGCATCTCATATCACAGACTTGTTTTTTAGGGAGACTATATGTTTACATGGCATTCCTAAGAGTATAGTGTCAGATCGTGATGTTAAATTTCTTAGCTACTTTTGGAAGACCTTATGGGGAAAGTTGGGAACTAAACTCTTATTTTTGACAACATGTCATCCTCAAACAGATGGACAAACTAAGGTAGTGAATAGAACATTATCCCAACTTTTGCGTGCTATAATTCAAAAGAATTTAAAGAGTTGGGAAGAATATTTGCCTTTTGTTGAGTTTGCTTATAATAGAACTATGCATTCAACCACTGGTTTTTCTCTGTTTGAAATTGTTTATGGTTTTAATCCACTGACTCCTATGGACTTAATTCCTTTGCCTTTTGAAGAAAAAGTAAGTTTAGATGGTGAAAAGAAGACAAAGATGGTGAGACAACTCCATGAGGGAGTTCGACTGCAAATAGAGAAAAAGAATAGACTTTACGCTTCTAAAGCAAATAAGGGACGTAAAGTGGTTGTTTTCCAGCCGGTGATTGGGTTTGGGTGCATATGAGTAAGGAATGATTCCTAACCAATGGAAATCAAAGTTACAGCCTCGTGGTGATGGTCCATTTTAGGTTTTAGAGAGAATCAATGACAATACATACAAAATTGACCTTCCAAGTGAGTATGGGTGTTAGTGCTACCTTTAATGTTGCTGATCTTACATTGTTTGACACAAATTTTGATTTGAGGTCAAATCCTTTCAAGGAGAGAGGGGATGATGTGGACCAGCCTAAAAACACCAGCAAAGACCCATTACATGTTCCAAATGGTCCAATGACTCGGTCCAAGACAAAGGCATTGAAAGAGGCATTGAATGCATTGGTTTTGAATGTTTCAACCAAGTTAGAATTGAAAGGTCTATTAGAGTATCAAGAGGAAACCCTAATACATCTTATCCATGTACAAGAGAGGTCCAACATAACCTTATTTGGGCCATGATGTGAGGACAACAAAAGAAACAAAAGAATCCTTCTACAACTTGGAAACAACATGGGTGGCTACCTTTTCTTTTTGTTTCTAGGATTAAGGGGTTGCATGGAAGGCTATAGATAAGCCTTGAATCAGTTCTATAATATTTTACTTCCTTCTCTTCTTCTCATGACAGAACATGGATTTAATATTATGGGCTTTGTTTTATTTTGTTAGTTACAGCCCAAGGCTTGTTTGGGCTTAATTAATACTTTGTTTTCAGTTAGGATCCAAGGCTTATTTGGATTAAGTTATGGGCTTTCAGTTTAGGGTTTTGGGTCAGTTTTAAGTTGACCTCATTTAAGTCCACGTAAGGGGTCCATTAGGGTTACCTTTTCAATAACTATTTAAACTCATGTAAGCCAAAATTTTGGCAGCTTTTGGATGATAATTACTTCTATTTTTTTTTTAGTTTTAACGTGTGAGAGTGATTCTTGCATTCTTCAGTTCTTGAACGAACTGAATCTGACTTCTCGAAGATTAACTAGCTTTGTGGCGTCATTTAACTCAATCCAATAGTGTTAGTGCCTTAGGGCAGGTTTCCATTGTGTCACACTCCTATCAAACCTATTTTTGCTTTCCAGGATAAGATCTCAATCTTGATTGTGGGTTGCGTGACCATATGATCACGAGGTTTGCATCACATGGAATGAGCTTATTTAAAATATTTGGGTCAAGATAAACCTAGATAAGCTTAGGGTGCCAAAGGAGCACGAAGAACAACCTCTAATTCATCTAATCCAAATCTAAAAAGGGCTCAATCCAAGTTCTAATACAGGCTAATGTGTTCGGCCCAAAAGTCAACCTTATTTGGGCTTATTTTCCTAATGTTACAAGGATTAAAAGTCAATAATTATTCTTTTATTTTATGCAATGTAATTCAGTTACATCTAATCTTTAATGGGAGAGAATTTTTATCATTCAAAAAAAGAAGTTTTCTAGTCCACCAGGAAAACTAATGGGTGGCAGATTTGTTTTCTAAACTAGGAATGATTATTTAATAATTCTCCTGGTATAGAAAATGAAATAATTAATTCATCAACTAAGAAGGAAATAATCATTATTTATATCCAAGTAAACAAGGAAACCAAGTTTTACAAGGAAAAGTTAGAGAGGGCAACAAAGGTTTCCAAGTCAATTATTTTTCCAAGTCTATTTGCAATCCCTAAAGTCGACAACTCTTCCTAGGCATGCAAGGAAGGCTTACTCGACTATAACATCTTAAAAACTAGAAAAATTAGAATTAATATCTTTTAATTTTTTTTATTAATTACAACAACAACTCTGAACCTTTATTGTAATTTTTTATTTTAAGTTTGTTTAACTAAGGGTTTGAGTCTAATTATAAGAGCCTTATATAAGTATACAACTTGTGTCTAGAAGCTTAAATTTCAGTATTTATAACTTTCTTATTAGACATGAATTGGAAGACTTCTAGAAAATTAACTCTTTCTTTGCTACAAACTTTGTTTTGTGTCAATGAGATATATTTTTTTTTTGTTCTATAAAAAATTAAAAACAACTTATTAAAAAACAATTGACCTCGTGGGTTCATCTTTATACTTTTTATTTGTAAATTAATATTCATTAAATGAAAATTCATTTCTAACCGTTATAGTATCTTTATATAACACTCCTATCAAATTTAATTTACATGGCTTTTCAAGAATTGATATAATACAAGTTGCTTAACAATGTTATCAAGACATTTGCATCACAAATTCCATTGAATGATATGTATTCTTATGGATTTAGAATATGGATGCACTCCGTTTTGTGGAGTCCAGCAAAACAATAAGATCTAGCTCACCACCATAAACAAAAGCACCCATAGTCAATTACAGAGCCATTGAATTCGAACAAACTAACAGCTCAAGTAGCAATAATTGATTGCTACAAATTAAAAGATGAGTTTATAAATTGGAAATTAATATTAACTACAAGCTCTCTACGCGTCCATGGACCCCTAACCCTACCCAAAGAAAACAAAAATACTCTCCGTTCCATGTAAAGCTTCATTACAAGTCACCAATAAACTAACCAAACATATACAATGAAACCCATATCCATCTAATAAATGAACAATGCATAAAAAGAAAGAAAAATAAAATGAAGGTTTGAATCAAGATCATTCTCTTGAAAGAACAAGCAGGTTGGAATCTATCAATTTTCGAACAAGCGGATATCCGGTTGATTTGGATACCATTGCCATCCATAAGGACAGGGGAACTTTAGATTTTTTTAATGCTGAAACGGTAAGCCGTCTATGTGCTGATTAGGTCAATTTCTTTTTTAATTAATAGCAGCTGAAAAAGTATCCATGTAGAAAATTTGGTATGAAAAAGAGCCAGGTGACATGCTAGCCAACAGCCCCATGTTCCGCATGAGTAACTTGTTCGGAGAAGGCAGACCGTGGTGTACTCTCATCACATCAGGTTCAAAATATTACACAATCAGAATCTCAAAAGCCTACATTTGAAAAAATAAGTTACATATATGAAACACGCAGACCAAAAGGATTCTGAGGAGAACATCTACTAGTAGTTTCGGTGGCTTAACTGCTGATGATATTTTGCAAACGAGGCAGCAATTTGGTTCAAGGAAAGAGAAAAGGAGATTCATTCTTTCAAAGGAAAGCTATAACTACTTAAAGATCAGTCGAGGCTTATTGTTTTGACAGCAATCTCTCTTTCATTTCACCTGTCATTACAACGCCCTCTGCTCTTCTCTTTCTTTTCCTAGCATGGAGGCTGAATCACTCTAAAGAGAGAAAAGAAGAACTATTGCTACAAAATGAAACTACTACATCTGCAGAAACCCTACAGCCTAAAATGATTAAGATCTGTGAATAAACTCACACTCACAAGAAGTTACATTTACGATCTACAAGCTTGGTTCCATTGAGGGGTTTTCCAGATGAGAATGTCACCGTATAAATTTTCTTCCTTCACGTCCACATATCCTTTACTTTTCAATACCTACAAGGTTAATTACAAATACGACTTAGCTTTTACTTCCTCTTTGCCAAAGATGTTTAAAGTTTTGACAGTGTAAAGATCTTTCTTGCTTGCGTGGATAACCCAATCTCAAAGATTTAAATGGTCGATACCTCTTACTAAACATTGGTTTAAATCGCTTTTTTAAGTAGAAAGCAGCAAATATCAGTTCTTGACAACAAAAATCAGTTGATCAGTTTACCTACAATAAATTCACAACATGATTTTCTCTTCTACAAATATGTAATCCCACTAAGTGTATTAAACTTGATGTATATGACATTTTTTTTTCGAATTTGCACTTGATTATTAACCTTCGCATTCAAAAAGAAAAGGCCAAACCAGAAAGTAAATGCTTAAAGAACACAGGATATATTTACACAGGACCCACAACAAAAGAAGAAAAAAAACTTACATGAACGCTATTTCAAATCAGATTGCCTAATAAGCAAATGAAGGAAACATAAGGGGCTCTTTGGATTGTGGTTATGGAAACGAGTCTGTGTAGGATTTCATGACTAGAATAATCAAAAAATTTATACAGAAAGAATCTTAGGTAGAGGCTTTTGGTATTAATTTCCACATGCTTCTTAGTTTTTACTACTATTACTTGAGAAAAAAGGCAAAACAGTATTTCCTTAAATTTTAGTATCTATTCATTTTAATTAAACATAATTTTTATCATTTAGGAGAAAAAAAACAAACAAACAAACACTCTCAATGACACATTACCGAACTATTTTCACACCCATGCCACAACAATGACTACAGCAACGGGCAAGACAAAAGCCAACATCTTTTGGACCAAAGTACTATGTTTGAAAAAAAAATTCATCCTACTCAGAAAAATGACAGACAATATAGCCGTGAGTTAATCAGATAAAGCACTGGAGAGCACTAAGGTACATACCAGTATCTCATAGAAGAGCCTGGCACTCTCTCTCTTGGTTCTTCCTTCCAAAATTCGCAATAAATTTAGAACTTCCTCCTGTCTTCTTTTCTTCTGTATCAGAAAACTTGCATGCAAGCATTTCACTGCCACTCTGTCAAGTAAATTCAATGGAAAAAAATTGAAGCAAGAATCAGACATTGACGCTTCAGATGAATGAGAATATTGCAAACCTTTATCATACCTGGTTCTTTCTGACCACCCATCTGCAATACATACAAAGATGAGAATCCCATGTGTGGTGATCTCAATGGTCAAAAAATTAAAAAAGTGAACAAAAAATTGACTTGTCATAGTTCTTACAATGCTCCTGGTTACCTCCAGATGTATTCGTGTCCTGGAGAAAATAGAAACAACATCATATATCAGTTCAATAAGCTTACATCCAGATGTATAAGAATCTGAGAAGGATATTAATGCACATAATGCCTGGCATGATATTTTGACTTGTCTTCGTAAACTTTACCATTGTCACTGCTTTACCTCATTAAGCAGATTGAAATCAAGTTCTTGATCCAGGCTACGGCAAATTTCTTTCTCAACAGTTTTGGACCATAGTCCATCTGCATCATAAATATCAGGTCTCTCAGGGCTCTCAAAAGACCTCACCAGTGTTGTGCACTGAATAGGTGTTTCTGGTGCGATTGCCATTTGCTCTAAAGAGCCACCAGCAGTGGGAGATTCTGCTACATCTAACTTTCCAGGACGTTTCAAAGTTTCAGCAAATCTACTAGCAGAAGGAGATCCAGACACATTTGACTTCTCTAGAGTCTCCACAGTTTCAACTGATCTTCCAACAGTACAAGATTCTGACATGTCTGAAAGTTCCATGGTCTCAACCAATCTAGCACTAGTAGGATATTCAGACACAAACTTTTTTGGAGATTCCAAGATCCCAGCTGATTCTTGAATCAACATATTTTCTGTAGTTTCCACAGTTTCATCTAATCTGCCAAAAAGAGGAGATCCTGAAACATTTAACTTTTCCAGATGCTCTGTATTTTCCACTGACCCTCCAATGTTTTGAGACTCTGAAGCATCCAACTTTTTGGAAGGTTCCTCGATTTCAACTGATCCACCAACACTCTTGACTGTTTCTGGAATTTGTAATTTCTTTGTGCGAAAGAGGGATCCAAGCTCTAGTGAAGCACCTGTTCAAAACAAAGTTAAAGAGGACAGCACAAGTACTATGCTACAGAGGAAATGACAATGCTTAACTTACAAGGAATCAGAGGCTCCAGGAAACACTTGTCAAGGTTGGAAAATCGACAGGCTTTCCAGACAGCAAAAGCAGTATGAGGAAGCTTTCTTCGTTTTGACACCAAGTCACCTGTGTTTTCTATGCATTCCTTAATTACGCTGTAAAGTTGAACAGGAATGTTATCCACCCTAACATTGGTCATTTGACTTTTCAGCAACTTAATTCCTCATAACACTCCCACTGTGTTCTTAAAAAGTCAAGTTTTAAGTGTGCAATCATGTCTTTTCTAATTGATGGTGTTAAGTTAAACAGAAATGGCAGGACATAGGACTAAAAGTAATATCATTTTTTGTTCAGAAACATATTATATAATCAGTTCTACATGGATACCCAACTTAAATTGTATGACACACATGACAGCTCTGTTATTAGAGCTTTAACTATGGAAGAATTTAGTTGATGTGAGAACAGCCTTATAAACATTTGAAATCCATACCTCCTAAATGTTAAAAACCATCATTTAATATACTGCAACATAATATTTTATTGTACCAACTTGTCTCACCAGAACATGATATTTGTGTTCAAAGGAAAAGGAGTAGCCATATTCAACAATGATAATCCATATTTTCTTTCATGATGTAATATAGCAGAAGACAATTGATATGGACAAGGCATTGAGTCAGACAATAACTCTAGGCACATCCATAGATTAACAATCAGAAATAACCTTGATTGAACACATGAAAAAAATGCAAGTATGAATGAAAAATGACATACTTATTAGGAAACACTACCACATCATCAAAGAAACACTTTCTTTTCCTGAGAACACGAGCATGCTCCTTAGCAGCCGGTGTAGAAATAACCATAAACTCTGGTGTGTTAGCTCCTGCATGGAGGAGATTTTTTTAATAAACATATTTGTCAAGAACTTAGCCAACGAAGATATACTATAATTGCGCAACCATTTTCACCTAGATCTGCAAACTACCACCCTCATTCTCTTCCCATCTCCCAATCTACTCCACCACAAATAAAAAGGGTAAGCAAAAAGAGCCCATCTATGCTATAACAGGCATAAAATATGTGATTTAAGACATACAACAATCCAATTACTAATGCTGGTAAGTTATTTATACCTCACATGTTCACAAAATAAATGTTGCAAAAATTCAGCTCAAAAAGATAAGATTAAATTGTGTATTAAAATTGATAGGCAATTATAGAAAATTGTCAGTTATCATTCCTTTCCAATAATTTTTTTATTTCTATCAGGAAAAAAAAATTAGAGGAATTAGATCGCGAAAGGTTATGAGAAACATGAACTCAAAATCCTCTTCACCTGAAACATCTTTGAACTTGGATTGAGGAGTAGTGTCAAGTTTTATATACAATGGATGATCTTCTGAAACAAGTTGCTGCTTTCTTTTTCCCAATGTTGTTGTTTCTGGTAAACTTGTGTTCCCTGCATTGCTCTGATGCTCTTCATTAAATGGTCTAGCATGTTCTGGAGGCTCCTCAACCGCAAGAAATGTATTAGCATCCATACATTCTTCTTGAAAAAATCTACTCTCTAGAAGCTTCTCTATGGATACTTCTACATCAGACACATTAACATCATTTAAAATACTTTGCGTTTCATTTTCTGATTGTTCCACACCAGGAACCTCTTTTTGCGGCTCCTCAGATTGGTGATATCGCTTAGCAAGCTTTCCAGGTTCTTCCACTACCCCACCAAACATTTCAAGGTTCAGAGATGCTTCCTGACAGACACTGTCATCACAAAGCTTCAGCACACTCATTCCTGCATGTGTTTCATCCGAACCTATCTTATCTGGAACCTTTGAGTCCTCCTCATTAGTTAGATGATCTTCAACAAATGATTTTCTAGTGTTTGTAGGCTCCTCCTCAACCGCAAGAAACATTTCAAGGTCCTCACATTCATGATGAGAGAACATACTGCCTTGAAGCTTCTCCATGCTTGCTTGTAGAGTGCTTACACTACACAATGTGCCTTGCTCCATAACATCCACCAAATGAGATGAAAAAACACTGGAACATGAGTATAAAGTGAGTAAGTGTTGAAAACATCGTAACATCCTAATTGACATATGAACCGGGGGGGGGGGGGGGGAGGGGAAAGCCAGAATGAACCGGGGGGGGGGGTTGTGATGGAAATGCAGGAAGGCATCTAGAACAACAGAAAAAGGAAACTTTAAGTTCAAGTTCCATACTCTTCATTCATACTGTAACCTGCAGACCAAGTATCTCCACGGACAGCAAATTCCTCACAGTGATCCTTCAAATATGATAATATTAGTTTTATAGCTACACAGATCTGTAGGAATTTAATAGAGCAGTAAATGTACAAATCTTATGAAAACTATGAAGTTGGAGTAGTAATGCTGATCAGAAAAAATTTACAGCCATTAAAAATCATTAACACAAACAAAAAGAAGCACCTTGCAAGAATCCAAAATGGAAGGACTGACCTATAGATGTTAAACGCTCAAAATTTAGATATAATCTTTTAAGATAATCTGATTGTCTAGCAGATACCTGGTTTAGAGAATATTTCCCTACACCCCTAGTTTTCCACATGCCATCTGTTGCATTAACAATAAAAGGGTTAATATCTGAAGTAGAAAGAAGCATACATATTAACTAAACTAAAACATTCAAAAGTTTTAAAGAAATATTTACATGGAGATTCTCACTGATGTTATGTAAACAACTGAAGTAGACTGAAGTATTAATTAAACAAGGAAACTCCAATACCTTTAAGTGTAATTTCTTCGTGGGGCATCACATTGCCTCTGGGAGGTAGAAGAAATATGAATATAAAAACCAATCAATAGAACAAAGAAATGATTAAGCTCTTCAGCCCACAGATAAATAAACCATATAGCTTACTCACTGGTATCTTCAATAATCTCCAGATCAAAAGCATCAAGTTCAAATCTTTCTGGTAGAGTAATAGAGAAGTAAGGTGCTTGCAAGGTTTCCACAAGTATCCCATCTTTATTACAGAGCACAAAGTCCTTGATGTTAAGAAGAACTTTGTTGCAGTCATCAAATAGATATTCTACTTTTTTGGAGTATATTCTGACCACACCAAGAAGAAGGTACGCCAGTACTCTATATGTAACAACATCAAACCCATCTTGCAAAATTTTATCTGTTTAAAAAGACATAATGGAAAGCCAGGATGTTATACAGAAATAATGACCACAATCATAACTTTTGAGACCAGCATTCAAACGGTAACTTTCATATCTACAGCCATATTCCAAATATGTTATTTTGGGGATAGTTTATGAAGAATTTGTTATTTTAGGACCACATATTTAGGAAGAAACTTGAATTTTTCCTCATTATATTATCTATTGGGTTTAGCATTTTGGCACCTAATATAAAGCAGCCTAATTTAAAAAATAAAAGTTTAAAGATAGGGTTCTTATTCCTTAATCAAATAAATAGACATTTCAGTATTTTTTGGTTATGTTGTGTTCCTCATCGCTTGGATCTATGCTAATATCAACACATAGACAAGGTGCTTTTACATTATAATCAATGTCTTGTAAATGTCTACAATCCTGCAAGAGATACCAAAGGATATTAACAGATCTAATTCTAAACAAAATCTGACTTTAGATTTGACCAATGCTATTTGCATACAAACAACAGAATATGCAGCTTGAAAAGATAATAAAATGAAATCATATGGAAAAGGTAACTTTTAGCTTACATTTACAGCAGCTGATCTTATATAGGCTTTTCCATTCAATAAAATTTAATTGCGCTTGGATTTGCTTATTTCCTTTTTCCTATAGATTGCCTTCTGATTATAAGTTCTCAAAAAGTGGGCATGTGAAACTGATTGCACCAGCATTTAGACCCCAATATGAATTGATTAAAGCATAAACTCATCCAGGCTTCAACTAAGTGCAGAATAGTTCACATTTTGCCAGTTCATGTTCATTAACTCAGAGACCTGTATATTAAGGTTGATCTATCTCTAGAGCGCTTATAAATTCTGACAGATACTGAACATAGCTTGAAGTTGAGCATATAAGCATATAACTTCGTAGTCATACCAATATATAGCAATCTCCATTTGATTACCAAGGCTGCCTATCGACCCTTATTGCCTAGCCTACAATATCTCCTATTTAATTTTGGTTCACTACACTTGGTTATCAACTAGACCACAAACCAGACACTTTTTGAGCATGCTTTGGTCATTGAATCCAAACTTGCTGCCCTTTAATCCTCAAATATTTAAACATGTAAAATGTAAAATTGTGCATGCCTGAACCAACTATTTACTCTTCACTCAATTTGATATGTTGCTATCTGCTACAAAGTACAAGATAGTTGGAGTAACTTTACATTATAATTCTCCTAAATGAAAAGCAATATAAGATCATAGAACACCATTTTAACTAGCATACTCCCGATCCTCTTTTGGTGGACAAAAATCAGTTTTGTATGAAATGTGGATCATTGCAGTCTATTATTTATCTCTTCGCATGACAACTAGCCACAGCATGACACAGATAAGAGATTAGCAAAGTCCAGCGGCAAAGATAAACATTTCCATATTAAACATGTGCATTGATATTGTCCAACATCATCTCCCACACTCTTATATCCACTTCTCTAGGCAGTACCAAGAAAGCAAACAAACTAGTGCGGCTATATTGGAAGGCAAAAGGCATTTTATTTATTTATTTATTTATTTTGGAACCAATTAAATTACTGAATTGAAAAATTCATTTTAATTAGCATAATCTACAAATATAGAATTAGGACTGGAAAAACCTCCTGTAATTTAGAGTCAGAGAAACACCGAGAATCCAAAATAATGATAACCTAGATTGCAAAATGTGAGTTTAATTGCCCCAAATCAAAACCATGAACCAAAAAAAAAAGTTGTTGAAAGCCCCTAATTCAGCCATTAGAAACAACATGTACAATTCAAAATTCTAAAATGGACACATAAATTGTGGAATAGAACAACAAATAAAGAAAGAAAAATAAAAGATCCCACATAAGCAAAACCTTCCCCATTGTTTTCTCGAGAAACAAACATAAAGTATCAAGCTTTTACAAAACATGAAGTAAGCCCATTTATTCTCTCCTTATAATTATAATTGAGACAAGAGAATATTGTGTCGGAAGAGGAGGTATATTAAAATAGTAATATAAAAGGGAGGGTTGCTTACCAACGGAGGAGGAGATATCAGTGGACGTGACTTGTGCTTTTTTAAGCTTTTTGAAGTAGTAAGCAGCAACCCAAATGGAACCTAATGGACCTTTCCTTGACAGAAGGCAGTGTGAGTAAAACATTCCTTCCCTTCTCACTCTCTCTCCACTTGTGATTTTGCTATTCAAAATACTAATATTATTACACAGAAAGATTGAAATAAATAAGAAGAAGATGAAGAAGAAAACAAGTACGGTAACTGCAAGAAGAAAAAGAGCCGTCTTTCTTTTAAAAAATATCATCTTTTTAATAATAATAATAATACTGGTGATAGAAGTAATAATTATGAGAAAAATTAATGAGGGTAAGAAATCACTGTAAATTTAGAGAGTTTTTACAGTGAATTATGTTAGTTTTACTTTAAATTTTTTATCATTCTGTGATTTTTTTATTATTTATTAAATTAAATATATTTGTTATGTCTAAATATCTTAGATTTTATATTATTATTATTATTATTATTATCATCATCATCGTTATTATTGTTGTATTATTACTACTACTTAAATTATATATGTCAATCACATTAAAATAATGTGAGTTATTATTATTATTATTATTATTACTACTTTAGTCAAGTATGTTTGTTAAACCAAAATAACATAAATATATCATATTATCAAGTAGGTCTGGCATACTTGTTTGACCTAAGTAATGTGATTCTAGTATGTTGCTAGACTCTAATAACATGAGTCTAGCATGTTGTCAAATCCTACTAAATTTAGGTATAGCATGGTTGTTGTTATTGTTATTGTTATTATTATTTTTGTTATCATTATTACTTGGATCAAGTATGGTTGTCAGACCCAGGGGTATGATTGTTGTTGTTCTTATTGTTATTGTTATTATGATTATTCAAATAAACTTGGGTGAAGCATGTTTGTTAGATTCAAGTAACGTGGATCTAAGAATTATTTATAAATAATTTATAAATAACAAATCATTATAAAAATCTAATTTAACATTTTAAATCTAAAAATTCAAATTATATCTTCCCATTGAAATAGATCATTTTTTATGTTTATAAATTTGATATTCCTTCAATAGAAAGTTTATCTTCTTTCTTTTTTCTCTTTTTTTTTCCCTTCTCTGTTTTCAGTTAAGATCAGACCCAAGCATTTGGGTCTGGTGGCCCTACTAGACCCATGCGACTTGAGTTTTTAGACCATGCCCAGGAGACTTGAATGTTATATTTAAAAAAACTCATTTGCAATATAAATCCACATAAAGAGTTCAAACAAGTATTATAAAAAGTTAAAAAACTACATAAATTATATAATGAAACTAAACATATATATTCTAATATTGTTGAATATATATATAGTGATATTGTCGTCGGTTAAAAATCATGAACGACCACCATTTAAATAAACATTTTTTTTTTTTGCATTGAGTTTGAGTAAAAAAAATATATAAAAATGATTTAAATTCATAAAAAAGAAAAAAAAAAGAGAAGATAAAATTTCTATTGAAATAATAACGAATTTATAAGTGTAAAAAATTAACTATTTCAATATAAAGATATGATTTAAATTTTTAGATTTAAAATATTAGATTAGATTTTTGTGATGATTTTTGTTTATAAATAATTTCTAAACTTGGATTTTTGTTTAGGACACTTCAATGATAGTTTAAATCTTTTTTATATAAAAAATAAAAAAATAATAATTAGAATTTTTGTTTATGATACTTTAATGATAATTTAAATTTTTTATAAAAAATAAAAAATATTTATAAAAAAAATTAATTAGACATGACTACTAGATTCAAGTCGGTTAGGTCTAGCAAAGCTATCAGCCTAAAGCACTTGGGTCTAGCATGACTATTAGACCCAAGACTCTTTGATGCGACATGATTATTATTGTTATTGTTGTTATTATTATTATTGTTATTAGTATAATTATTATTGTTGTTGTTGTTGCAGTTGTCGTTATCATTATTTGTATTATTATTATTATTATTATTATTATTATTATTATTATTATTATTAAAGTAACTTTGGGTTAGGCATGTCTGATACACTCAAGTAACATGGATCTAAAAATTATTTATAAATGAAGTATAATTAATTTATAAACAACAAATCATCACAAAAATCTAATTTAATGTTTTAGATTTAAAAATTTAAATAATATCTTTCCAATGAAATAGTCTATTTTTTATGTTTATGAATTTGTTATTCCTTCAATAGAAATTTTATTCTCTCTCTCTCTCTTTCTCATTTCTTTTTTTTTTCTCTTTTTTAACTATATTTTTTTTCAGTCAATGCCCAAGTTTGACACGATCCAAGTGCCTGAGTTTGGCGGCCATGTCAAACTCAAGGCTCTTGAGTCTAACACGACTGCCAGACACTCTTAATTTTTTTATATATATTTTAAAAAGAAAATGATATTGACCTGCTATAGAGCGTGGGCCAATACACCAGTAATTTTTATATTTAGAAACATTTTATTTGTTCTTTTATTTTCTTAAAATTGTTGAGAAAACAAGAACAAAATTTATGTGAGGGAATGTGACATAACCAAAAGATTCATGTCTTCTCCCAAGTGTATGAGTGTTGAAGTAATAAATAACCCAGCAAGACTTGAGTCGAACCACTAGGAAGTTAATTGTATAAATTATAAATAACAACAATACAACAACAACAACAACAACAACAACAACAATAATAATAATAGAAGAAGAAGAAGAAGAAGTTAATGAGAACTTTGAGATGAAAAATCAACGTGAGGATTAAACAATGATAATAACAAATGTCAAGGTTAGAGGATCCACTAATGGTATTTCAAACAAGTATAGTATAAACTCTTATTATTTAATTGAAAACCACACACAAAGGATATTCCAATCAGATTATAAATTGTTAACACGATTACATTAGTTATCTTATTCTAATAATGCTAATACTTGTAAATGTTGTCAGGCATTCATGATTATAACTTATGTTAACAACAAATCAAGTACTTTTCATAGCACAGGTGTCGGTTATACCATATAATATAGGGTATAAAAGTGCCAAGTATTTGCTGTACCAAGTGTTATACAACATAAATCTAGATTAACCATTTAACAAGTATTAAAAGTGAACAAGATAACAAATATAAAACATGTTAGTTGACACGACGAAAAGATTGATGTCTTCTCCCAAGTGCAGGAGTGTCAAAGTAATAAATAACCCGGCAAGACCGGGGTCGAAACAGGGAGATTAATTGTACAAATTATAAACAACAATTATAAACAATAATAATAACAACAATAACAATAATAATAACAACAATAACAATTATAATAACAATAACAATAACAATAACAATAACAATAACAATAATAATAATAATAAAGAAAAAGAAGGAGAAGAAGAGGAAGAATATGAGAATTTTGAGATGGAATATTAATGTAAGGATTAAACAATGATAATAACAAATGTCAAGATTAGAGAATCCACTAATGGTATGTGAAACAAGTATAGTATAAACTCTTATAATTTAATTAGAAACCACACAAAAGGGAGGTTTCAATTTGATTATAGATTGTTAACATGATTACATTAGTCATCTTATTCAATTAATGCTAATACTTGTAAATCAAGATGCCTAAATGCATAGCAAATGCGTCCTTTTATGGGCCAAAATTGGGAATTATTGATTTGATGACTAATTGATAACTGGGTGGCCAACTTTGACTTGGTGACAATCCTTATCTTCTTTTGTCTGCCCAAAACGTCATTGATAACGTCAAAATGGGAGCCACTCAAAAACATGAAAGTTGTAGGCAATTATCTCAGCTATCTTGTGTAAAAACTTCAGCTCATTTGGACTACTAGAACTCCAGATATGGTCAACATACTGAACAGTGCTTGAGTTGGAGGACAAATTCAGGCTTCTTTGTTGTTGCTACAATTTGGACTTGAAAATGACCTTTTTAGATCTTGGACTCCATATGAAAGTTGTATGCCTATATCTTACCTTTCTATCCATATAAAATAGACCTAAATCTGAGATCTATAGCTCCAGATATGACCCAATTACCAAACAGTGTTCCGGTTTGGATTGCACCGACATCTCTTTTCTAATTTTGGTCATCTCTGTGCCCTTGCAATTTATGTTCTTAAAGTCATCAATCAATCCTTTCATTTATGTGATAGGCCTGCATTTAAAATGAACATTTACCATAAATTAAAGGTATCTTATATTATTAGATATATTATTATAAAACATGCTTTAGTTAAGGAGTTATTGATACTTCAAGTGCAAAATGATGATATAAAATCATGATAAAAATGCACTTTTAAGTACTAATGACACCCCCCAACCAACTTATTACTAGTCCCTAGTAATCAAAGCGTTAAAATAAAAAAACAATTTGCAAATTCCACAAAGCAAGGTATTCATCATTTAACTTCCATTAATCTATCCAGATAAACAAACTCTCGTTAAATTTATATACCTGCTCAATACCTCTTAACAAGATATTAATAAACCTTTCTTTTGTGCTCAATGTATCAACACATAATTATGGGGCTTTTCTTGGAAGAAAACAAAATTTTTGTTCTAATGTTTAAGGTTAACTTCCTTGGGTTGGGATTACTATTTTTGTCTTTTTTTATTGTTTTTTTGTTTTTTTTTTTTAAAAAAATCTATATACATATACTTTAAAAACATCATGCATCTTTAACCCATGTAACGAGCTTTCAGCTAATGACTCCCAGACCAGTTGGTCTTAGGGCATTAGGTGTTAAGACACCCCTACGAGCTTAGTAAGGTGTTGAGACACCCTGTTGCGATGTCGCGGTCGCACAAATTAATTACCCTTACACTTAAATCACACAAGATAGTATAGAGCAAGCAAGGGATCGATCCCACGAGGAAGATTTAGTTTAGATTTTTATGCTATACGTTATGCAATTGGGGGGTTTTGATTTGTGATAATCTAAACTATGGAAGAAATTAAACTAGTGAACACAATCAATTAAAACTGAAATTTATCAAGAAAACAAACCTTGGTCACAAGCACACATCCACCTACAGAAATCAGAACCGATCCTTGAAACGAAACTCCAGTTTATATTCTGAATTTTTATCTTTTCTTAACTTTGGTTAATTAACGGATCCGCCGTATAACTAGCCCTAACCAACAAATAATCACAGTGTCCGCACTAATGATTTAATCTAATGGCAGCCTTAAGATCTAGATAAATTCA